CTCCCTATAACATAGAAGTTCTATCCTCTCTTGTATCCAACCCTCCATTTTTTAACGGAGGGTTAAGATTGCCTTAATCACAATGTCACGTTTTTACACTATTTTATTTTTAATTTTTTTTCTATAAACTATTTTGACACCAAATTTTGGATGTCTATTCTTCTATTAAACTCCCACTAACGAAAAATATAAAAAAAAGATTTTCAATAAAATAAAATTACCAATACCCTTGAAAGGTTCAAGGGGTATTTTGGTCATTATGTTTTATCAAAAAATTATTGTTAATAGTTTTTTATACGTGCGCCCAATGAGAAGATGACACGTACCAAATTTTATATTCAAAAAAATTGTACTAAAAAAATAAAAATAAAATACTTTGAGACATCATATCTAAGATCAAACGGTGAGAGCTCTCTTGATAAAAAATGGATAGCTGGTTGGTAGGGGAGGATAGAATTTCTATGTTGTAGGAGAATATAGAAAACTTTCCAAAAAAAAAAAACTCAAAGGAAAAACTTTCCAAAAAAAAACTTTCTATACTTCCGCTATAGTATAGAAGATCTATGCTTCCCCTACCATCCAGCCGTCCAATTTTGATAAGAGAGCTACTCACCGTTTGATCTTAGATACGATGTTTCAAAGTATTTTATTTTTAGTTTTTTTTTACTCATTCGGGTGCACTTTTAAAAAATATTAAAAATAATTTTTCGATAAAATATAATAACCAAAATATCTTTTAAAACTTTCAAGAGTATTTTGGTCATTTTATTTTATTGAAAATATTTTATTTATATTTCTCGCTAATATGATTTTAATAGAGGATTGGATGCACAAAATTTGGTATCAAAATAGTTTACAGAAAAAAATAAAAAATAAAATAACGTAGAGACGTGACATTGTGATTGGAGCACTATTACCCCTCCAAGTTGGATGGATAAGGGGAAGTATGTAAATTTTATGTTGTACATAGAAAGCTTGCCCAAAACTCAAAAGGCAAAAGTACAAACAAAAAAGGTCTATGGAACATTTATTTCGAATAGGAACAAGCCACAACATACAAAGACATCCACGAGCATGGTACTCCCAAGTCTTCCAAGGCAAATAGGGTGCCTTCTTCAGTTTGGTCTAAAGAGAAAATTTAGTTCAGTAAAAATTTAGTGTTTGTCTAGTTTTTAGCTGGTTGAAACATCTACTTTTGACTAATTTGATCTGATAAAAAGAACACTTTTTTAAATATATTTCATTATTTTAAGTTATATAATTTTAAATTGTTATTATATTTAAATTTTTAAAATATAGTCCAATTAGTTAGACCAATAATTAGAACAGACCCCTTTCTTGATTACTGTTATGAGAAGAAGAAAGATCATGATTCCACAACTTTTCTCTCAACTACTTGTTTAGTAGTAGTAGGGGAAAAACAAAAATAACTAATACAGTCAAACTGCTTATTTGGAAAAAAACAAAATCATTGATTTGGAGCAAGTGGCAGGATTCTCGAGCCCTACTTGGATTGGATTGGATTGATGAAATGGAGGTGATTTAGTCCCGTCAATTAGAGGATCAATCTAAGGTACCGTCATGTAAAGAACTTGGGTACCCAACGCAAGAGTATGGATTCAAATATTTTGAGTGACAATTTTATGCATAAGTCAAAGGTTAAGACTGTTTTCAGCTCACCTCTCCAGGGCCCTATTTAAATCGTTCCGAGGCCTACTTAGACCAAACCAGCACCGGCTTTGTTTTTTAAAATTAAAAGGTCAATCGTCTTCTATATTTAGAGTTGATTTTGTGGACTTCTAGTGGAACAGACGTAAGGAAAATAAGAATTGCCCATAAGGTCGATCTAGAATTGGACGGCAAAGATCACCCTTAATGCAGATTCAGCCGTGGAAATTGTGATACAACACCACGGCACGAAAGTGAGACATGAAAAAGCTTAATGGGAGGCTCGAATATTGTTTGGAATTTCTGATCGTGCGTGACACGTAATGTGAGTAGACAAAATTGGTTCCCTTTTCGTTGTTGGGTTTTGCTGTCCTTTTCTAGCATATTAGACAAGCGGCAGAAATGACTGACCGACTGCCAAATATTATGAAATTAAGGAACTGCTAAGTCATAAAATTTTAGTAAATAGATTTATTTATAAGAAATATTACACATAATCCATTGATTTTAGACCAATGGATCAGCAAAATAGCGTTTGCTTTAACCTAGGGTTGGCTATGGGTGGCCCGGTTGGGATGGCATTGGGGTCGAGTCGATTTGTCGACTGGGTTGACCTCAACTAGGTCTGGGTTTGGGTCCATCTTTTGCATGCGGCAGGTTCTGGTTCCAAATGACTTGGACTCTATTGGATTCGAGTTTGGGTCTGGCATGGACCCTATTGGATCGGGTCGGGTTGGGTTTGGGTAAGGGTGGACTGCGCCCAACCCCACCTCATGTAAAACGTATCAAACATATAGTAAATAGTATTTAAATTATTTTTTATTTTTAATTGTGTGACCCGAGTACAGGTCCTGACCTTGATCCGACCATACCTGATTCGTTACCACTATCTGTCAATCTAGTCCATATGCCCGGGCCTGAAAAAAGTGTTGGGCCACCAAATGTAGCCCAAGGGCCAAGGCAAAGATAGGGCTAGCCTAGTTTGGCCTGACTCTTTTGTTCTTTATATTTTTTATCTTTCCTTTTCTTCCATGCTGGCCGGGCCATCGCTAGGGCCTGTTTAGCCTTGTCAAGGTTGGGCGGGGCCTGGGCTAGGGCCAAGGCGGGCCTTGCTTGTTGCCAGCCGTACTCTAACCTTGTTGTTCACTTGTGAAATGAAGGTAAATTGGTATCATAATCCTTGTAAAATGCATTTTTCAATGGTTGCTTGGCACATTCAACGTTTCTTTACTTGGCTCGGGCTTGGTAGGCGGCCACTGACATCGCTGAGTTAATTGGGCAAGCTCGAGTTGACTTTGACGAGTTTGGCCTGAACCATATGACCAACCCAAAAAATGGAGAATTTTTTGAAAAATTCCAAATGTAGATAAATTATGGAAATTATTAAAAATTGACAAAACTTGTCAATAATGAAAATGGTATTTGAAATAAAAAAATAATCTAATGTGATGATATTGGGTGTACGCAAACTACTTGATAATCGAAAATATTTAAAATTTTCTATTATTCTAGTGCTAATGTAGCGGAGGCTATCAATTTCCGCTTTATAAAGTAAAGTTCTAAACATTAAGTTGAAATGAACGTCATCTTGGCATTACCCACATTAAGCAATGGTGGCTTCTTAGCCATTAATAAATGTAACAACTTTTTTATAGAAATATCTATCTTAGCCTTTTTAATAGGAAAAGTGTCTTTATTTTCAAAAAATTGTATTACAAAATAAAGATATATGAATGTCCATAAAATTGAGCACATTAAAAAAAATACTCATATATGTATGACTACTTTAAATAACCTTACATGTATAAGGGAAATTTATCGAACTACCTATAAGGACAAACAATTGAACATCTTATCCACATCTTTTTCTTTTATTTCAAAATACCCTTAAAAGTACAATGATTTAAGTTGGAAAAGCAGCAATAGGTATATTGTTAAATAACTAGACTCTTCTGAAAGAGAACATTTGCATTCATATATATATATATATATATATATATATATAGTA